AGCCTTAGTTTTGTTCCCAGTATATAATTCTATTGTATGAATTTATTCATCTGGAATAAATTCATTATATCATTTGCCACTGATAAGACACTCAGTTTCTAAATTTGTACTGTTATATGCTGAGTGAAGCCATTCTGTTGTAGATGTGAGCATCTTCAACTTTTTTAGATGTTGCCAAAATGTTGTCTAAAGTCATTGTGCCAATTACATCTCCATCACAGGAGTATGAGGGTCCAGACGTCCCACATCCACCCCCATGCCCCCAAATTGACAAACTTTACTCTTTTCCAGTCTGATGGATGTGAAGTGGTGTAACATGGTTCTTTTCATTTGCATCTCTTACAAGACCAATGAGGTTGAACATCTTTTCATATTTTTGGCTACTCAGGCCATTGAGACTTCCTCTTTTGTGAATTACCTGTTGATGCCCTTCACCCATTTTTTTTAAAAAAAGTTGGACATTTTGTCAGCTCATTAAACTTCCTCCACCTGGAATAACCACCTCCCTATTTCTACATCCTATCTTCTAAATGTCACCTCCATAAAATAACCTCTAAACGACCACAAATGACAATCTACCTTTCTTGTGGCATTGTAATTTCCTGTCTTGTAGTTGTAACAACTTCTCATTTTACAGACAGCTTTGTAGTTTACCAAAGCACCTGCTCCTTCATTATTCTATTTTAACTTTTATCTAGACAATGGCCCTCGGAGATGAGGTAGTATTGTTACCACCTTAGAACAGATAAGGAACCGGTGTCAACAAGGAATAAGTCGCCCAAGACCTTATACTGGCTCAGAAGCAGAGGCTCGCTCAGAGCTGAGACTCCCCCCAGTTTCATGTTCGGGTCACTGCACACATCCCTTTTAATTATATACATGTGTTGATGCCACCTGCTTGTTCACTCACTCATGAGACTGTGGGCCTCTTGTCTGCTGTTCCCTCGTAAGCCCCCAGCCCCTAGTTCTAGCTCCACACAGGGAGCATCAGTGAGTACAGAATTCTTGAGAAAGTACAATGTTCACCTTCTGTACACCCCTAGGTGCCCCCAGCTCTGCATGCATAAACTAACTTTCCCAACAACTCTGAAAACAGGTTTACCAGTTGAAGGAACAATCAGGGCTCCACAGCCAGTATAGGTGGAGCTGTTCTATGAACCTCAGAATCCTAAAGGCAGACCTGGCCAATTTAGAAGCTGATGGAAGTGTCCTACTTGAATCTTCAGTCCTGCCCCAGTTGGACACATGTTCTCTCTGTAGAATGTGGGTAACAAGCACATTCCTACGGACCCCTTTGGGACTTGCAGACTTACTCTCCAGGACGGGAGACCCAGGCTTCAGCAGAAGGGAGGCAGGTTCTGTGTTGGCCCAAGGAGCCAGAATGGGGTAGTAAGATAGAAGGGCAGCAAGCCCCCGGAGTGGAAAAAGTGAGCGAGTGCCCGAGAGGACTCGGGATGAAGAAGTGGGTGGGGGGCGGAGGCGAAAGGACAAGAGTGAACATGAGCAGGGAAGGGGCTCTTCGGGGAAGGTGCTGTCCACCGGCCACACCCATGAAGGCGCACACTCCCCCAGCCTCCTGATGGTGTCTGCAGAATGTGATGGCAGCAGGTGAGATGGGCAAAGGGAGCTAATGGCGGGGATGCAGGTGAGGATTTGTTGCCCAGGGTTCTTTCCAGTCCTGCCCCTAAGAGTGAGTCTGGTTGGGGACATGTCTGCCTTTTCCCCAGAGGACTGGGTCCTTATCTGTTGCAGCTTTGCCCATTGCCTCAATCTGCTGTCCCGAGACTGTGTTGTCTTTCATTGTGTGTCATTTTATTATAGGTCCTATTTGTGTATGCGGCATGTGCCATTGTATCTGTGATCGTGTCTGTGCACGTGTGTGCGCAGTTTGCTGTGTCTGCCTTCTCACTGTGCTGAGGCTGGGTGCCTGCTAGGCTTGCCTCGCGTGCACGTTCTTCTGGGTCTGGGCTGGGCCCTGCACCTCTCCTGTGTGTGTCTGTGTCTACACCGAGTGTACAGTAATCCGCTTCACTGTGTGTGTCGTGTAAACGGTGAGCTGGCTGGGCTGTGCACTGCTGCGGGTCTGTCTGGGCGAATCTCTGGGCTGTAAAGTGCAAGGTGCTGGGCGACCCGTTCGGGTTGTTCTGGGGCTGAGCTCCACCCGGCGTCGGCG